TGAACTTTTAGCACACTAGAAAAGCGGCGACGAGATTAGCTCGTGACAAAATTTCAATAAATAAGTGATTCCACAGCTGAAGAGTTTGAGAAGTGCCAATGCAGCGTTTATCACTACCAAAACTTTGATTTCATATGTTAGGCGCTGCTGTCGTGTCGTTGCAGATTTAAAAAGAAGACTGAAACAAGGTAGGAAACATAGGCTGAGAAGGAAGAGTGAATAGGACTTCGCCTTTTCAATGCTGTATTAATAAACTGAAAAGCACAAACGAAACTGAAAGCACCCGTTCCGAAAACTGCTGAAAATCTTTTCACCATTCTCTCCTATATTTTTAATGTCTGTTTTTTCATCCACATATACCAAAAAAAGGAAAATCAGAGCTGCACATTCCTGAACATCAAAATCAACAGATTGAAAGCGGAGAGCGTTTTTCTAATTTAATTTTCACTGTTTTCTCCAGTGAGACAGAAGCACAATTTGCTCAAAATCCATGCGACGTGAGATTCCAAACCAGGAAGAACGGCACAGTCACCTGCTGAACAAATACCTGAATGAGCTACTGTCATTCTTCATTTGCAGTTTGCTTTGTCCAATCAAACGGTTCCCACAAACGTTTCAGTTTTGCGGTATTTTCACGCTGCTGATCAGCTGGTACATATTCGTTGGTTCGCCACAACCGATGATCCAAATCCAGCATACCACCAATTATTTCCTGCAATATTTGTTCAATAAGCCTACGACCGCCCTTTGATTTCCAAGAAGCCATCAGCTTTACTGCACAAATTTTCCTTGCATTCTAATTATAAAAGCATGATTCTAACCCATCCTCTCCCCTAGATTGCTTTTTTTTTTTTTTAAATCAAGTTCATCCGAAATCTCAGTTCACTCTTATTATATAGTCTTGCTAACACGTTCCCAAATGGTAGTTAAAAAGATCAGAGGCACTCAGAAGCCCAATGGACCAGCAGTTAATGTTGAGTGTTATATCCTCAATAATCCTACAAAGTACCGAGCAACTGCCGGAACCAAATCTGTAAGCGGACCGATGGAATAGTGCCG